GGGGAGCCAGGTGTGCCAATCGCTCGTGTGGGATCTCGGTTCTCTTGCCTTTTAGATTCAAGGAGCATCATGTTCGGAGTGTGAGAGGAGGCCCGGTTGAGCTTACTGGGCGATGCTTGGCGGCACGCATTCAGAGCAAGAGCGAGGATTTCACCCTTGTGGCGTGCAGCACCTGAGGTGGAGGGGCCGCTGCTGGACATGAGCACGCAGGAGGACGCGACGGAGGATGTGAGCAGGCTCTGCTGTGCCTTGAGGCGCACGGCAAAGCGGAAGGCGGGGCCGTGCGTGGTGGGCGCCTGGCGAGCTCTGGGACATGGCGCTCAACCCTGGAGCTGGAGGTCGACCTGGACAGCATCGAGAGGGCTTGGAGCTGGGGAGGTGGGACGGCCCACCCTTCTTTTCGCGCGAGCTGTTTTCCTTGGTTGTCTGCGCATTCGGGCGGCTGGGCGTTGTCCTCGCTGGCTGGAATTGCAGCCGCACAACATGATTGCCGAAGACCTGTGATGAAGGACCGAAAGGCAAGCGCCGGATTCATATTTTACCGCAGATTGGTAAGTCTTGGCTTGCTTCGCCAGTGAAACGCGTTCGTATGGAAGCCTCGGCGCATGGCTACCAGAAGGGACGTTGCAAGGAGACGCCGCTTCGAGTCAGCAATGCTGTTGGTCGGCGAGCGCGAGTGGGAGGAGTCTTGACAAGCAGTTCTTTGATGTGACGAATGCTTCTGGTAGTATTCACCGGATTCAACTTGTGGAGGCAGCTGATATAATGTATGATGGATCGGTTCGAAGTGTGGCTCGGCAAAGAGTGGAGCAATCGTATATTTCTGTTCCCAGCAGTGGTACTGATTTTCTTCTCAGGCCGCAAGTTGGTGACCTCACGGGCGACCCGTTCATAGTGGCAGCTTGGACTTGGGCGTTCCAGCCTGCCTTGGCTGTATGGCGACATCGAGAAGCTGAGTGGGGACTGGACAATGCCATAAACACGATGTTTCTGAGGTCCGCGCGGATGTCTCGGATCGGCGCTGACCCCCCTCCCTGGCGCGCGGAGCGCGCCAGGGGCGGCACCAGTGGCGCCGCCGGGGGGCTTCAGCGCCGATCCGAGAAAGCCGCACGGACCTCTGAGAGTTTATGCTTATGTCGTTGCTTGGTTTCGGTTCGGTTTCGGACCCCCGCGATTTGCAGATTATATACAGAAAGCCTCTCTCTCACCTCCTCTCTCTTCCTCCTCCCCCTTCCTCCTTCACTTTCCGTCTCTCTCTCTCTCCCTTCCTTCCGCTTCCCTCTTCCCCCCCTCCTCCTCCAGCTCCAGACTGGATGAGCCTGGCGGGCTCTCGGCTTTCAAAGGGGTCGAAAAGGAACCGCTCTTGTTGCTGCACTCCTCTTCTCCACTCTTCTCCTCCTCCTCCTCCTCCTCCTCCTCCTCCTCCTCCTGCTCCTCCTCCTCCCCCTCCTTCCTTTGTTCTCTCGGCTTCCCCAGAGAGCAAGAGACCATTGGGAAAACCAAAAAAAACAAAAAAACAAAAAAAACAAAAAACAAAAAAACACAATAAAAGCAAAAAAAACAATAGAAGCAATGTTCTGGGAGAATACGGACAGCGAGGCGAATCCTTGCGAAACATTGCTTTTATTGCTTTGTTTGCTTTTTTTGTTTTTTTTTTTGTTTTTTTTGTTTTTTGTTTTTTTGTTTTTTTTTTGGTTTTCCCAATGGTCTCTTGCTCTCGTCGTCCTCGTCGTCCTCCTCGACACCGACCCCCCCCCAGATTCTCCTTTCCCCTCCCCCTGGTCCTTCTCGTCACCCCCTCCTCCTCCCCCTCCTCCTCCACGTCATCACCATCGTCATCGAAAGCCGCCCTCTTGCCCCTCCTGCATCTCCCTCCTCCTCCTCCGCCTTGTCGTCCACCATCGCATCACTTTCGGGTCTTAGGTCGGGCCTCCGGAACGTTCTCGGCGAGGCGCAGCTCCTCAAGAGTTGTCCCACTCAAGTTTGATCATCGTACTTGTCATGAGCATCGTCGTCAGCATCGTCATCGACAGCATCTTGAAACTGATGCATTTCATCAGCATCGTCATCCAAAGCATCTTGGAAAGCATATTTGTCATTATCATCGTCATCGGCACTCTCTTGAAAACAATGCTCGTCATCAGCATCGTCATCGGCACTCTCTTGAAAACGATGCACGTCATCAGCATCGTCATCGACAGCATATTGGAAAGGATAGTTGTCATCATCATCGTCATCGGCACTGTCTTGAAAACGATGCTCGTCATCAGCATCGTCATCGACAGCATTTTGGGACTGATGCACGTCATCAGCATCGTCATCGACAGCATCTTGGAAAGGATAGTTGTCATCATCATCGTCATCGGCACTCTCTTGAAAACGATGCTCGTCATCAGCATCGTCATCGACAGCATATTGGGACTGATGCACGTCATCAGCATCGTCATCGACAGCATCTTGGAAAGGATAGTTGTCATCATCATCGTCATCGGCACTCTCTTGAAAACAATGCTCGTCATCAGCATCGTCATCGACAGCATCTTGGGACTGATGCACGTCATCAGCATCGTCATCGACAGCATCTTGAAAAGCATAGTTGTCATCATCATCGTCATCGGCATTCTCTTGAAAACGACCCTCGTCAGCAGCATCGTCATCGGCAGCACGTGAACGCCGTACTCGTCATCACCGCCATCCTCGTCATGTCCGTAGCTGTTTGCAGGCTCAATCTCTCCATACCACTTTCATTGCTTAGCTATGCCCCGCGGGCCTGCTATGGAGCAGGAGGCGGAGGCCTCGACGAAGAAGCAGCCTGCTATGGAGCAGGAGGCGGAGGCCTCGACGAAGAAGCAACGGACCATCGAGCAAATCAGGAGCAATAGCGGTTGGAAACTTCCGTCGTTTCGGCGCTTGACCACCAAGCAGGCCCCGCCCGCGATGGTGTGCACTCGCAAGCCGATGAGTGTGGAGGAGAAAAAGAGGAGGAACAAGGAGTCGCAGCGCAGGAGCAGGTTGAGGGCGGCAAAGGGGAAAAAGATCATCAAGAAGCGCCCCGCCAAGAAGTCCAGCAGCTCCTCCTCTTCCTCGGGCTCTTCCTCGTCTACGTCCCCGATTATGGGGAGGTCCTCCTCCTCTTCGGACTCGGACTGAGAGGGCCGGAGAGAGGGAGAGAGACAGAGAGAGAGAGAGAGAGAGAGAGAGAGAGAGAGAGAGAGAGAGCGCAACCACCAGCTTTGAGCAGCAACCGCTTTCGGAACCCGAGAGGACGGAACAAAATCATCATCATCACCCAGGAAGGGCCCAGGGGGGGCACTTAGGAGAGGACGCACAAGAGGCCCACGAGAGGGTTCTGGATTACACCCATAAATGAAACCAAGACAAACCCAGCAAGGTAACATGGGATTGTTATTGATCAATCATTACAAGCGTTCGCCTTCACACTGCTGGTGTTTTGGCTCAGAGAAGGGTTGCGCCGAAACGGTCGCGAACCTGCTTTGTCAGACTTCCCGCGTCTCGATCGGCTCAAGCTGTTTCATCGCACGCGCCTTTCGCGCCTACGCTTCGCTTTCGCGACTGCCATGGCGAGGGAGAACGCGATCCTCCCCAAGACCCTCCGCGAGACTCTTGGGGACGCAGTTGGGGACGAAAGCATCAACTTCGGCGAAGCTCTCGCACACGCCGACGGCATGAAGCCCCACTTCCACGCTGGCCTCCCGCACGGCCACGTCGGGCAAGAGGGGGTGTCGAAAATCGCGGACCTTCCTGCTGCGCCCATGAACGTCCATGCGGGCACGAAGATCGCCTACTTTGGGGACCTGTTGATGAACCAGGACGACGGGGAGATCCAGGGCCCCGACGGGAAAGCAGTCGGTGTCCTCACGGGGTGGAAGGACGCACGAAGGCAACCGTGCCGCTTGGACGCGGTCAAGGACCTTGCGACGAAGTCCAATTTTAGCGGCCTCCCTCCGCCTTTCAACCTCAAGAGCCAACCTGGCGGGACATACGTCATGCAGATTTTCGTCGTCGGCGCTGGGGAGGGTAAGGTGCACATCTTCAAAGACGTTGACTTGAAGGGCCAGTTCTTGAAGATGGCAAGCTGCGAGCCAATGTGTCATGGCACGGGCGTCGTGTACCAGTATGGTAACCAGTATAGGGCAGGCCGCAATGCGATCTGTTACCTCCTGGATAAACCTGGCGGCTTACAGGTTCGCTTCTCCACGCTGACAGCCACGGCGAAGCCTGCCAAGCGCTCGACCGAGCGGGATAAGAAGCTCGAGGGGTACCGATACATCGAGAAGAAGGGCCCGAAGAGCAACAACCGCAACCAGTTCATGGAGTTCGCGGACAAGGACGGTTCGGCGGGGGAAAACGGCGCCATTTGGCTAGCCCCTTTGCTACCCTCTTCCCCCCGACACCCTCCTCGGTCGCGCAGGCGCTTTGGCCGCCGAGCGGTTGCGGCTAGCTAAGCGGTGCCGTTGTTTCCCCGCCCCCCCCCCAGGAGGTCAACGACCCGCAGTCGAAAATTTACGGCTGGGAGGAGTCCCGCGTGATCCAGGCGTTGCGGAACCATGCGAGCGGGCGCATCAATGCCAAGCGCCTCACTGTCTGGGTGCTCACGCTGAAGGACTTCGAGCCGTGGTTCATCAACGAGGTGCTCGTGAAGATCCTGCCAACGCTTCGCCGCAACGGCGTGCTCTGGATCGGCAAGACCAGAGTGGGGAAGTCGACTGCGTCAAAGACCCTTGCGTTCTTGATGTCCATGCTGGAGATCGACGCCCTTGAGGGCGATGATGGGGAGGGCGCCCCCGAGCCTTCCATTGTCACCGCCAAGCACTTTGATTTCTTCAAGGGCGAGCACGTGGAGAGGGTGCTGCCCGCGGTGTTCGACGACGGGGACTTGCACAAGCAGGACGCGTCCGTGTTGAAGGCGTTCCTTAACCCGAGCGAGGAGGACTCCACCTTGCGGGCGAGGTGGGGGCCCAGCACGTTCGCCCCAGGGGCGCCCCGCCAGGCAGTGAACAACAGCTACGATAATGCATTGGAGAAAAGGTTGGTGGCAGCTTGGCGCCAGGGGCAAGCAATGGAGATTCCGCTCAAGCAGCTCATGAATATCATCGCGCCCTCCCTGAAGCAGGTCACAGAGGAAGAGGACATGAAAGCCTTGCTCGCGAGGACCCACGTCGTCGTGACCACGGACGCGCGCGTGTATTTCCGCCTAGCATCCGATGGGTTCCCAGAAGACGGAGTCGTGCCCTTCTTCACATACACCAAGAAGACGAAGCCTGACTTCTTCAATTACTCGCCCGAGGCGCGCGCGTGCTTCGGCAGGTACAAAAACGACCCAACTTCGCCGAACAACTACCCGACCGACTTCAAGGAGAAATCAGAATGGTCTCTGAATTTCGCGAAGCGCCTGATGCGCGGCGAGGACGTGCCCACCGTGTCGATCACCCGCGGTGCCTCGCTCTTCGGGCAGCCCGTGCACATCGTCCAGCCAGAGGTCGTGCCCCCGCCAGCGGGCGGTTCAGGCAGTGGCGCGGCTTCTTCGAGCGGCTTGTCAGGGCCATCTGCGGTCGCTGGCATGGGGTGTGCTGGCGAGCTGAACAACGTGGATGCGGCCGAGCAGCAGGCGATCTACGCCGCGATGCAGGATCAATTCTTCGAGGGCAACAAGAGGGACAGCGGCGCGTTGGTGGACCTCATGTCGCCTCCCCGCAAGCGCCTCGCGACGGGCGCCAGGGCTCCCTTCGGGTGCGGCGGGGAGCTCAGCGACGTGGACTTGGCTGAGCAGGCCGCGATCTACGAGCAGATCCAGCAGGCGTTCTTCAACCAGAACCAGGTGCTCTCTGGCACGCAGATAGACCTCACCACTCCGCCCCGTCAGCGCCCTGACACGGCGGGCGACGACTTCGACTTGCAGGCCGAGCTCGAGCGCCACTTAGACTTGGAGGAAGAACGCGAGCGCCAGCTAGCGGAGGAAGCCCGCAATCAGGCAGCAGAGGACGCCGCGGGCCAGGACGGCGCCATGGAGGAGTGAGGTGTTCTGTGAGCGGGGTGCCCATGCGCGGGCAGTGTTGCCGCTTTCGGCTCGGGCAACGACGGGGCGCGCGCCGCCGAGGGGGCCGCGCGCCGCTGGTGCCCCAGATGAGCCGTTAGCACGCTTCATAGCCGTGCACCTATATCGTTTTCTTCTCGATGCATACACGTCCTTAGATTCATTTGATCCGATTGGTTGAAACCAGCGCACGCTACAAGAATGGGCATCGCGCGCGGGCACCCATGCGTCATTGCCTCCGCGGCTCGCCGCTAGCCAACCATAGCCCAACCGCGCAGCCACAGTTCCTTCACCCATCGCTTCGCTTGCACCGCAGCTGTTTTGGCTCGAGGGCGCATCGGCAGACCGCAGATCGGGGGCGCTTGCGGCGATGGCAGGCATGGCGCACACGTACAACAACATCAAGAGCTTCAAGAAGGCGCTCGACGCATCGGCCTTCGACACGAGGGAGGCGTTTCTCGCCGTAGTCAAGTACGCCAACATCGAGGATATGTCGCCGTATCCACAGGACCCCGCGACGCCGCTGATGGTCTTTACCCAGCACTTCGGCGTGGTTCCCGATGAATACTGCTGCCCAGAGTGCGGCGCCGAGTTCACCATGAAGGTCAAGTCTGGGACGTCTGACCGCGCGGCGCGCTGGCAGTGGCGGGGCCCTCGCTACGACCGCGCTGGCTGCTGCGACGCATGCGGCGACGTTGAGATCTCCATGACGAAGGACACCTTGTTGGCAGATGTCAAGGCGTCGAACTGGCTCCCATTCTTCGACTGCATGGTCATGTGGGCCCAGGAGTACCCCCATTTGAAGATCGCCCACGAGCTCGGCAAGCAGCACAACGTCGCGGGCCCCTGGATGGAGAAGTTCCAGGATGTCGCCGCGTCTTACATCGCCGACAAGATCTCGCTCCCAAAGCTGCACGAGGACTTCAAGAAGCGTGCCAAGGCCAAGGGCAAGAGGGGCGTGAAAAAGACGATCTCCAAGAAGAAGCCGTCCAAGTTCATCGTGCAGGCCGACGAAGTCTTCTTGAACAAGTCCAAGGTCAGCCGCCTCGCGCCAGGCACCCGCCCCAAGAAGGACAAAGTGTGGCTGTGGGGCGCGGTCGTGCAGGGCAGCCCAGAGAACTTCGTCTTCCGAGTCCTGGAGCACCCAGAGGACGCTTTCGACGGACGCCCCCGCGGTAAGCAAGAGATGGTGACGAACTTCGACACGCTGGGCCTTCGCAAGGGCATGGTCGTCGCCACGGACGGGTGGCGCGCCACGATCGCTGCCATCAAGCACATCAGGGACAGGAATGGATGGTCGGACAGGGACTTGAAGCACGAGATCGTCGTCCACTCGAAGGGAGAGGTGAAGAACCAGCGCGGCTTCACAACGAACCACATCGAGAACCGCTGGTCGGTCCTCAAGAGGTGGCTCAAGAAGCGCCTTGGCGGCCGCCTGCCGACTACCTCGGATAGGCGGAAGTGGGCCCGCTGGGTGACGGAGTTCCAGTACAGGAAGGCCGTCACGAAGACGCATTCGGTCGATGGCGGCCACACCTACTCCCTGCCGACGAAGACGTTCCTTTCCCACGTGGCGGAGGTCACACTGGCTGGGGGTATCTGACGCGGCGCCTCGGGTCCTGAGGCAGCAAATAATCTCGAGGCTCGGCAGCGCCTGTGATGCGAACTACATGCTGGGCTCGCGCGCGCATGGCGTGAGAATGGGGCCACCCATGCCTGGGGTTGAACAGCGGGTCCACGCCGCCGCGGCAACAAAAAAAACATCATCCAATCATCAGCGCCGCCGCCACCGTCGTATCACGCCGAATTAGCAGAATTCCTTAAATCGCAGGGGTCCGAAACCGAACCGAAACCCGTTGCTTATACCCAAAGAGGAGGAGGATGAGGAGGAGGAGGAGGAAAGGGAGGAGGAGGAGGAGGAGGAGGAGGAGGAGGAGGAGGAAGATGCTCGGGTCATTGTTTGTCCCCCGAATCCCCCCCCCCCACGCCTCCGCTGATCTCCCTCCTCGCCAATCTCCCCCTCCCCGCCGGAGCCCCCCCTCCTCGCCGGGATCCCTCCCCCTCCCCGCCCTCCTCGCCGCTCTCCCCTTCTCTCGCCCTCCTCGCCGATCTCTCCCCCCCTCCCCCCCCCCTCCCCCCTCCTCGCCGCGCTCCCCCCCCCCTCCCCTCCTCCTCCCCGTCCCCCCCCCCCCCGTCCACTGAGACCGTCCTCCCCTCCTCGCCGACCCGCCGCCGCGGGGTGCGGTAGCGCGGAGACTCCTGCTCGGAGGAGGCCTCGCAGTTCCCCCGCGGCGCGCCCGGGAGCGCCGCGGCGGCCGCGGGCCGCCGCGCGGCGCGCTCCTCCGCGTGCGCGGGGTGCGCGTGCGAGGAGGCCGCCGGTTGGGCCTCGCGCGCGGCGGCAGAGCGGCGGCGAGAACAGCGGCGGCGACGACGACGACGACGGAGACGACGACGACGACGACGTTGACGACGACGACCACGACCACGACCACGACCACGACCACGACCACGACGACGACGACGACGACGACGACGACGACGACGACGACGACGACGACGTCACGACCTCACGACGACACGACGACACGACGACACGACGACGAGAAGCGGCCCGTTGAAACTTGAGTGACCCCTGGGCCCGCAAGCTGGGCGGGATCTACATCTTGAAAGAAGATGTCCTCCATACGTTGAGCTACAGTGGATGCCACAAGGTGGTCACAAAGTTCAAGGATGTGCCCGACGACAGCTTTGAAAAAGCGCCCACCGCTTGTGCGAGTGTTGCACCAACTCACCCCACTGGCAACGAGAGCGGCAGCCCCACTTTGCAAAGGAACCGCACTTGAATCGTGCAGCGCGTGCACGAGTTGACACCTACAGCAACGCATGACGAAAAAGTCCATGTCATAATCCCATGCCGAATAGGACCGAACCGGCAGTGGTGCACCTGTGGATGTTTCAAGACGGGTGTGCGCGGCGCCAGAGCGGCAGCCCGATTTCGAGACGGCCCACCCTCAATCCGTATCACTGTTTGGATTTGGCTTAGACGAGAGCGGGTGGCCGCGTCGCCAAGGCGAGAGGCTCATTTTGAAACGGCCCGCCCTCCATCCGTGTAACTCCTAAAACTGTTTCAGACGAGCGTGAACGGCGCCACGGCGAGCCCCGTGTGGAAACGACACGCCCTTCATTCGTGTAGCTGTTGCCATGCTGCGCACCAAGATCGTGAGCAGTGAAGAAGTATTCGGCGAAACCTGGCCCACCCATCCTACTGACACGTCTGGCGGTGCGACAGGCCCGGATGATACAAGAAGGAATCTGCACGGAGGAGGAGGAGGAGGAGGAGGAGGAGGAGAAGGATTGAGGAGGAGGATCGAGGAGGAGGAGAGAGGAGAGAGGAGCGAGCGAGGAGGTGGGGGAGAGGAGAGAGGAGGGAGAGGTGCGGCAGAAGCGGTGCTGTGCTGCGGGAGGAGCACTTCTGCCCTGCGGGAGCGAAGAGGAGGAAGACGAGGACCGTGGCGCCCCCAGGAACCGCCTGGTTGACGGGACCCGGTGGTCCAGCTCGAGAGAAGGATGACAACGATAACGACGATCACAACGGCAACGATGACAACGGCATTGATCCGCCGGCCCCCTTGTGGGGCCACCAGGCTGTAGGCCCGTGATTCGCAGTTTCCTGTACCAGTCGTAGGTTGTAGTTTCCAGTGTTACAGTTCTGCTTCTTGCTGGTTACTGTAACTAGTTGACTTATTGCTGGTTACTGTAACTAGTTGATTGACCGCGCGAGGGGGGGGGAGGCCCAAACCGGCTTTTTAGCACCCCCTGGGCGCGTTGTCTGAATTGCTGGGGGGGCTCGAAATCGACACCCCTCACGCAGATCCGCGGGGTCAGGGTCCAAAAACACAGGGGATTTGCCACATTTCTGAAATTCGGTGCCACCCCTCACGCAGATCCGCGGGGTCAGGGTCCAAAAACACATGGGATTTGCCACATTTCTGAAATTCGGTGCCACCCCTCACGCAGATCCGCGGGGTCAGGGTCCAAAAACACAGGGGATTTGCCACATTTCTGAAATTCGGTGCCACCCCTCACGCAGATCCGCGGGGTCAGGGTCCAAAAACACATGGGATTTGCCACATTTCTGAAATTCGGTGCCACCCCTCACGCAGATCCGCGGGGTCAGGGTCCAAAAACACATGGGATTTGCCACATTTCTGAAATTCGGTGCCACCCCTCACGCAGATCCGCGGGGTCAGGGTCCAAAAACACAGGGGATTTGCCACATTTCTGAAATTCGGTGCCACCCCTCACGCAGATCCATCGCAAGGCGTGGTAACCCAAACTGCGAGTACTCCCTCGGCCCTTTAATCCCAAGGTGTGGTAACCAAGCTCGTAAACCATACACGTCTTACCAATCGCCCTGTGTGGTAACCCCTCTTGTGATCAGTTGGTTTTGCCGATTGCGAATCGGCCTCGCATGAAGTTCCGATACTGCTGCACGACAGCGCCAAAGCCTCATGACTTAGCTCTTCCATGGCCCATTCTCCGAGAGAGGGGGCCGGCGGCAGGGGGCGAAGCCCTTACGGATAAACACGATCACAACGATCACAACGATCACAAAGATAACAACGATAACAACGATGACAACGATCACAAAGACAAAGATAACAATGAAAACATCGACAACGATAGCAAGAATCACAAAGCGAGCTGATGCCGAGTCGCCAGAGTTCCAAGGGAGAAGAACGAATCTGAGCGGCCGCGCCTTCTCCGCGACGGTCAGGGGCTGCGCCTCTTTCTCCGGGTCGCTTGTCTGGCGGGTGCTGTTTTAAATCCTCCTCCGACCCCCCGCTCCAGCCCTGGCTCCTGGGCCCCCCTCGCTGCTCGACCACCTCCTCCACCCCCTGCCTTTCCTCCTCCTCCTCCTCCTCCCTCCTCCTCCTCCTCCTCCTCCTCCTCCTCCTCCTCCTCCTCCTCCTCTCCTCCCTCCTCCTCCTCACTCCTTCCTTCCCCCTCCTCCTCCTCCTCCTCCTCCTCACTCCTCCTCCTCCTCCTCCCTCCTCTCCTCCTCCTCCTCCTCCTCCTCCTCCTCCTCCTCCGCACTCCTCCTCCTCCTCCTCCTCCTCCTCCTCCTCATCCTCGCCTCCTCCTCCTCCTCCTCCTCCTCACTCCTCCTCCTCCTCCTCCTCCTCCTCCTCCTCTCTCCCTCCTCCTCCTCCTCCTCCTCCTCCTCCCTCCTCCTCCTCCTCCTCCTCCTCCTCCTCCTCCTCTCCTCCTCCTCCTCCTCTCTCCTCCTCCTCCTCCTCCTCCTCCTCCTCCTCCTCCTCCTCACTCCTCACTCCTCACTCCTCCATCCATCTTCCTGATGGGTATGACTCCTTAACGTCCCTCACCCCGAGGCGTGTCGGCAGGGCGGCCCGGGCGCTTCGCCAGAGAACTCATCACCACGCGTGATCCCTGCGCTGGAGAGTCGCAATCCTCTTCACGGGTGGAGGGCGGGTCGTATGCAAAATGCGGCTCTCGCCCCTCCACCGACCACGTTCGCCAGAGAACTCATCACCACGTGTGATGCCTACGCTGGAAAGTCGCAATCCTTTTTCACGGGTGGAGGGCGGGTCGTATGCAAAATGCGGCTCTCGCCCCTCCGCCGACCGCATTCGCATTGAAGGTTTGAAGGAGTTCTCACAGATCGAAGGCGGGCCGGGTGCTTCGCTAGAGAATTCATCACGATGTGTGATCGTTACGCTGGAAAGTCGCAATCCTCTTCACGGATGGAGGGCGGGTCGTATGCAAAATGCGGCTCTCGCCCTTCCGCCGACCACATTCGCATTAAAGGTTTGAAAGAGTTTCTCACAGATGGGAGGCGGGCCGTTTTCAAGAAGCGGCCCTCGCCCCAGCGCCGCGCACCTTCGTCCTTGGAAAGCTCGCAAGAGTCTCACGGCTGGAGAGCGGGCGGTTTTCAAAATGTGGCTCTTGCCTCAGCGCCGCGCACATTCGTCATAAAAGTTCGCAGGAGTTCCACGGACGGAAGGTGGCTCCTTTTCAAACTGTGGCTCTCGCCCTACCGCTGTGCACCTGTCTAAAGAGTGTACAACAAGTTCTAGGGTTCTTATGGCTGACGTCCCGGGAAAAAAGGTTTCGGCACGAGGTAGGACTGTCAGAGCGCAATAGTAGTACTGAAATCCCAGGAACGGCGTTCTAGCACGATATAGGGTCTTCCGGAAGCAACAGCAACGTTGATTCGCGGCGTTGAAATCCCAGGAAGCGTGGTCTGGCACCGTTCAGGATTTCAGACGGTTGTCCGTCTGCTACTCCTGCTCCTGCTCGTTCTGCTGGTACTGCTCCTCCGATCCCTCCTCATCATCAACATTCTCGTGATCGTCGTCATCATCGTCGTCGTAGTCGTCAGCATCAGCATCATCGTAAGCAGCAGCAGCAGCATGATCATCATCATCGTCATCCGCATCATCATGAACATCAACAACAACGTCACCATCGAATCGTCACACCATACACATAACCATCAATATCAGTATCATCAGCATCATGTCGGTCAGCATCATCATCCTCACCATCACCAGCATCATCATCATCATCATCATCAGCATCATCATCATCAGCATCATCAGCATCAACATCTACATCGACAACATCATCAGCAGCGTCACCACGACTACCACCATCATTATCAAAGCCGTCATCCTGATCATCGTCATCACCGTCGTCAACAAACTCACCACCATCAGCAGCATCACCACCGTCATCCTCATTACCAACATCGTCATCGTCATCATCGTTACCATCTCATCCTAAGCAGCAGCACCTTCAGTAGTACTATCATCAATCCTCATCCTCAGCGGTAGCCTCGTCCTCATTGCCATCATCATCACTATCGCCATAACCATCACAATCACCATCGCCATCACCAGCAGCATCATCACCACCATCACCATCATCACCATCATCATCATCATCATCATCATCATCAGACTCATCATCAGAATCGTCATCAACATGATCGTCCCCATCGGCATCATCATCAGCAGCATCATCATCATCATCAGCATCATCGTCGTCAGCATCACTATAAACAACAACGACAGCATCACAATAGACAGCATGACCACCACCACCACCCTCATCATCATCAGCAGCAGCATCATCATTATCCGTATCCTGATCTTCATCTTCATCCTCACCCTCGTCTTAATCAGCATCGTCATCAACATCATCACCATCATCGTCATCACCGCCATCAACAACAACATCCTCACCAACATAACCATCATCCATCATCAGCAGAATGAGCATCCGTCTCCTTCCTACTCGCCCCTCATCCTCCGACATCACCTTTCCTTGCGAAGCCACTCTTACCTAGGCCATCGCGGCTCAAGCGCCGACGGGAGGTACGCTCGGCTTGCTCACCGCCCTCCCTCCTCCCCTCTCCTCCCTGCCCCCCTTCGCTCCTCCCCCCCCCAGGAGGAGGAGGAGGAGGAGGAGGAGGAGGAGACTCTGATGTACCCAATGTGTGGTGCACGCGGACCTCGGAGCTCTCGACCCCATCCTGGGCACCGGCGCCTCTGAAGGGGAACTGGGACACACACAACAAAATAGACACAAATAACCCCGATTCCCCATACGTTCCCATACTTTCTGGGTTCGTGTCTTCCCCCCACTTCCCATAGTTTCCCATATTTTCTGGGCAATCGACGATTAATTGTGTCTTTGTCTTTTGTTTTCCATCCTGAGTCTCACTCAGAGCCACTACTTGACGGCCCCAGGTCCCGAGAACGACCCCCAGAGGCCGAACCAGACCGCACGCCTTCGCCTTGGCTTGCTCAGAACGCTGAAGATCTCCTGGACCTCCTTGAGCATCGTTTGACCAATCCCCATCCCCACTGGCGTGGCCTTGGCCCGACCAGCCAATTCACCTCCCTCCATGAGCATGTAGGCTGTTCCATCCGGGCTTCGAGGGGTGCATCCCCAACTGGGGTGCTGAGATCGTGGGGCTCGATGTGGGGATGGGGATGGGCATGGGGCTACGAGTCTTGGGCGCCCGAGTTATCCGGGGTAACTCGGGTCCGGGGTAACTCGGGTTTGGACTCCCGAAGAAGGAACCCGAGTTAGCCCTGACCCGAATTACCCCTGATGATTCGGGGCTCTGGACGCCCGAATTATCCGGGGTAACTCGGGTCCGGGGTAACTCGGGTTTGGACTCCCGAAAAACGAACCCGAGTTATCCCTGACCCGAGCTACCCCTGATGATTCGGGGCTCTGAGAGCCGGTCAAACGATACTGACTCCTCCCGCCCCGCCGGCCCCGGCCTCCCGCCTGAGCGCTCGCCGTCGCCTGCCCGCGTCTCGCCTCCTCTCCTCCGCTGGGCCGCACGGCCTGCCCAGGGACTGGCGCGGCGGCGCGCAGCGCTCTGTGCTGGTGCTGGCCGCGGTCGGCTTGGAGAAACCCCGAGGGCTCGGGAGGCGTGCAGGGAAGCTCGGCGCGTCCTGACCTGCAGAGGAAGCTCGACGCGTGCAGAGGAAGCTCGACGCGAGCAGGGAAGCTCGACGCGTGCAGGGAAGCTCGACGCTCGAGGCGTGCAGGGAAGCTCTCTCCAGAGGCCCACAGGACTCCTGCTCCCATCCCTGCCGTCCCGCTCCCCCCTCCCTCCTCCGACTTGCCTGCCAGACCACCCCAACCCGACCCGAAGACCCGAATGTTGGGTTGGGGGGGGGGTACGGGTTCCATGTGTGCTTTCTCAAATGTTCCCCGGCCCCACCCCCCACTGGAGATGGGGGACCAATGGAGGCCTTCGGGTTGACCCGCAGTGGGCGATACCGTACTGACTCCTGTTCCCATCGCTCCCATCCCTCTCCGCCCCTCCCTCCTCTTCGGGTGTTCTCCCCTCCCGCTCTCCCTCCTCTGCTCTTGGGCTGGGGTGGTTTGGTGGGCGGTGATCCTCTTCGGGTGTTGCCCCCCCCCCCACCGCATCCCCCGCATCCCACGGCCTCCGCAGGGCCGCCCGAGGGGTGCCCGTGGTGGCTCCGAAACATGTTGTGGCCGGGCCCTTCGACGCCGTGCCGCGTCTCGCGACGCGTGCCTGGGAGCTGCCGGCCCCAACGCCGAGCCAGCTTCTCCATCCAAAAGGAGAAAAAACGCCACAGGCAGAAACTTTTGGCGCTCCGCGCTTCTCATGAGCCCCGGCCGCCGAGTCAGCTTCTCCATCCAGAAAAAGAAAAAACGCCACAAGCACAAACTTCTGGCGCTCCGCGCTTCTCAGAAGCCCCAGGGGGGGGGAGGCGAGCCTTCTGGAAGGAGGAAAACGCCATCAAAGTAAACTGCTGGCGCTCCGCGCGGAGTGCGCGGCTCTGCGCTGCACCCCCCTCTCTGGCGCGCTGCGCCGGGGGCGGCGCCGGAGTCGTCGCCGCCGCGGGGGCCCAACGCGGATCCAAGAAATCCGCGCGGAGCGTCGACAGCTTATGGTCATGGCGTTTTTTTCTCTCTCGGCGATCAGAATCGGACTTGTCCCGATCCCTACGATGGGCGAGCCAAACACGATGACAATATTTTTGTTTCCCGAGCGTCCCGCCCTCCACGTGGAGCAACGTAGGGAGCGGGAGGAGGGGCCTGCGCCAGGGGGAGAAGAAAAATAACGCAGAGGAGACAGCAAGGACGCCTCACCAATCACGGGGACGACGGTGAGGGTGCTTTCCAGAGTAGTCGAGAGGGCTCTCATGCGGGGTCCTACCGTCGGATGAACTTTGCTTCCCGAACGTCCCGCCCTCCACGTGGGGAAGTGGCTGTCGAGCCCCGTCCGGGGAAGACAGTCGTAAACAAGCAGAGGCACAGCCGACCTCTGCCGACGGCACCATTCTGGCCAGGCAGGCGCCAGCGCACCCCACCGGAAGCGATGAGAATCGTACAGTGCGGACGCGGCCGCAAGAAACCCTCGCAAGAAGCCCAGCCCTGAAAACCCGCGCGCGAGATGCACGCGGGGGAGGACCCTAGAGCACCCTGAACGCAGCAGCTCCTTCAACGGCCGCGGGAAGCCACCGCGCAGCGTGCGGAGCGAAGAAACCCAGGGTGCCCTGACTGACGAAAAGCACCCGGTTCCTTGCTGCGCGCCCCCACTGTAGGGATGTGCCCTCAGAAACTGAGGGGATCCTCTGGAGAAGAGACAGCGCCATAAACACAAACTTTTGGCAGTCCGCGCGGATTTCTTGGATCCGCGCTGGGCCCCCCAGGCGCCGCCTCCCGCACCGCCCATGGCGCGCGCCAGGGGCGTCGTCGTCGTCGCCGTCATCGTCGTCGTCGTCGTCCGCTGTCGTCGTCGTCGTCGTCGTCGTCGTCGTCGTCGTCGTCGTCGTCGTCGTCGTCGTCGTCGTCGTCGTCGTCGTCGTCGTCGTCGTCGTCGTCGTCGTCGTCGTCGTCGTCGTCGTCGTCGTCGTCGACGTCGGAGCGGTGGGGTCCTGCCGTCCACGCGGCCCCCGCGGGAGGCCTCCAGAGGCCTCTCTGGAGGTCACAGGCTGTCAGGGGGTCGAGATCCGCGAGCCTCCCCGTCGATGCTCCTGCTCCTCGTCGGTCCTCCTCTGCTCTTGGTCCTGCCACCGAGCCCCGTCGATCCTTGCGCCTTCGATCCTCCTCCTCCTCCTCCTGGATGATCCCCCTTCCTCCTCCTCCTCCTCCTCCTCCTCCTCCTCCTCCTCCTCCTCCTCGATCCTCCTCCTCCTCCTCCTCCTCCTCCTCGATCCTCCTCCTCATCCTCCTCCTCGTCGTCCTCCTCCTTCACTTGGATCCTGCTCCTCCCCGATCCTTGAGAAAGGTTTCATCCATCCTCCCTCTCCGCGGTCCTCCGAAGAGGTGGCGCCCAGGAGCGCCGCGGCCGCGCGCGCGGGGGGGTCGGCCGCGCGCGCGGGGGGGTCCTGGGAGATGGCGGAGCAGAACGACTCCGCGTCGTCTTCCCTGTGGGAGAGGGAAATCGAAGTCTTCGAATGCTGCTGGCGAACACTTCCGGAGGCCTGCGGAAACCTTCCGAGGCTTCTGCGGACCCCCGCCTTCTCCTGGATCTCGCCGCATCGCCACTGCACCGGCGATGCGGCTCGATGTTGAGCCCGCCTTTCTCCATTCCGACGTCGTCGAAGCATCGCAAGCGTCGGCGGTGCATCCACGATGCATCAGCGGTGTGTCGGCGATGCATCGGCGACGCGGCGCGATCCTCCGACCCAATCTATTTGGAACCCGTCAGGAGCTACCAGCGAGGCCGAGAGACCGCGCGGCAGGGTCGTCTCCGAGGGGCCGCGTCGCGTGCCAGAGGGGCCTTCTGGCGCCGCGCAACGCCCTCCGCGGCGCGTACTGGCCGTGACTCGTCGCACGCTGGAGGCACTCTGCAGTGGAAACGCTCCCTCCTCGTCCTCCTCCTCCTCCTCCTCCTCCAACTCCTCCTTCTCCTCCTCCTCCTCCTCCTCCTCCTCCTCCTCCTCCTCCTCCTCTCCCTCTCCTCCTCCCTTTTCCTCCTCCTCCTCCTCCTCCTCCTCCTCCTCCTCCTCCTCCTCCTCCTCCTCTTCTTTTCCTCCTCCTCCTCCTCCTCCTCCTCCTCCTCTTCCTCCTCCTCCTCCTCCCCCTCCTCCTCCTGCTCCTCCTGGAGACCTGTCCGCGACGGGCGTTACCGAACGGCCCTGAAAATGTCGCACACAGCGGACGTACGCAACGATCGCGACGACGCCGGGCATCGCGTTGGTTCGAACACACCAAGCGTCCAACCCGAACTGGACCGAGAGTCAGGGTTGCTTCTCAACTGGCCATACCACGGAGATGCTCTGAAGATGAATCCGCGATTTCTCGATATTCCAGAAAAGGCCTTCGTGCGTCCTTTGGGATTTCGTCGGGTATGCTTCATACATGCGCGAATAGTTCCTATAACGATTCCTCAGGGGTCCTGTGAGATTCTTCGACAAAGTCTGGGAGAATCTGCAACAACTTCTTAAAACTCGCGACTGTGGTTCCCTGAGGATTCCGTCAGGTGGTCCCGAAAATTGTTCGCAATAACGTTGAGGTTCCCGTAAATTCAGAAAGGTGGCCCCGACTATCCTGACGACTTCTGAACGAGTTTGTTATAGCTCCAAACCACAACTGCATTCGGATTGCTTGAAGGATTCCTCGAAGGTCCCTTCAAGATCGTCCGAGGCCCCATGGTGTATCGTAATGTTCTGGCGGCTTCTGTTCTGAGAATCCTGAAGGTCCCCTGGGCCCCACCTGCCACAGCTCAAGCCGGCCCCGATGAGTCCAGCTCTGTCCAGGTCAGATCGGTCCAGGTCGGACCAGATCGAAGGATGAGGAGAAGAAGAAGAAGAACAAAAGGAGGAGGAAGAGGAGGAGGACAGCGAGCGCGAGGAGGGAGGCAGGAGGAGGAGGAGGAGTCCTCAGGCACATAGATGTTCATCGGCGGCGCCCGGGATCCAGGGTGCGGCATGGGCTACAGTCGAGAGGCGTTGACCTAAGGAACCCAAAATAAGGAACGAGGCCCCCTTTTCCATAAGCTAAACTTCGATTTCCGATCGAAAGCATAAGGAAAACCTGAGGCAAGCTGCGAAACACCTAAGGAACGCGGAGCCCCTCCCCAACGAAAAGGGTTCCTTCTTCAGGGACCCGACTGTGCAGACAGGCTGCTGCGATGCGGCCTGGGTGCGCACGCAGGCGGCGAGGGAGGCCCAGCGGGGGGAAAATGAAGGGGCCCACAAGCACACAAATAAATACACACCAGTAAAAAGATTCCCCATATCTTCCCACATGTTCGGGGCTTTTGCCTTCCCCCCACTTCCCATAGTTTCCCATATGCTCCTGGGGATCGACGGTTCATTGTGTCTGTGTGTTTCTGCCCCTCCTGAGAGAAGAAGGGGGGAGAGAAGAGGGCCGCGGGGCGGCTGCGCGGCGCCCCAGCAGAGCGGCAGACCCTCGCCGGGGGGTGTGCCCGGGGGGCAGGCCTCGGGCCCCCCCGTGGCGGTCACGGCGCACGCTCTCGCAGCGGCGGCGCGCGTCCAGGCTCGGGAGATGAGCTGTGCAGCGTTCGCTGGGCACACCCGTGAAGAGCGGCGCCCAGGGATAGGGGGAAAACCAACCTACCTCGCTCTTGGCCACCCTCGCTTCCAGGAGATAGCGGACGATGCCAGGTTGCAGCCTGTACTGGTCAGGCCGCTTGGACGAGGAGGCGCGTGTGGTGTGGCCTGGTGATGCCTGGAAGCGAAAGCGGAGTAGGTAATTCACGCTCTGAAGGGGAGCGGCGCCGCCTTGAGGCCCCCCCCCCCGCAGTGGCCCAGAAGGAGCAGTCGGCGGAACAGGCGCCAGCAGTGCACGAGGCTCGACGAGGAGGGTGGCTGGCGCCGGTGTGCCGCTCTCTGGGCGTCGAGGGAAGGCTTGGAGGTTGCCATGAAGGGACACTCCGATGGCCGCAGCAGGCCAGAAGGTCCGTTGCAGGCCGCTCCGAACCTCTCGGCCCGACCACAAGGAACCTTCCACAGGAAACCCAACCCTGAGACCCCATGATGTCCAGTGATTCTTGATGCGGAACGTCACGACCTCCATCGCAAAACCATCGAAAGCCCAAGAGATCCAGGGCACCCCAAAGGCGAGCAAGGTGTCTCTTGGCCTGGGCCCCCACTGCAACATCAGCAGCGAGTCCTCACCGCACTCTCGGGGGCAGCCGTGGGGGGCCACGGGGTCGAACCTGTGGCACTGGGGGGCGGCGGGAAGAGGAGCACGCGGAGAGGGAGGGAGGCACGCTCAGAGCTGGCGAACCAACAACACACACCCATACCCATAGGGGGAGCGGAGAAAGCTATGGGTGCGTGTTGTCGGATGGGGGCCCCCGCTCGAACGGGAGCGTTCCCCAGGGTCCGACAACCCGCACCCATACCCATAGCCAGTCCTCCTCCCAACGACCTCCATATGGGTATGGGTGCGTGTTGTCCGTTCGTCAAGAGCGCGAGGTCCTGGAGCGCGTGTGCCGAAGCGCGTGCACAGCGAGGGCTCGGGTGCACGGGCGCTGTCAGTGAGACGGGCATCACCATTATGGGTGCCACGCACGTGGTGACCACTCGGTCTAAGGGATTCGCCTGGCGCGAAGGGCCCAGCATGAGAACGCCGCGTCGCATCCCGTGCTCTGTGGCCTTCTCGACACCGCACTCAGAGGATGCCCTCAGGCGTTCTGCACCGAGCACTCCCAGTGGTGTCGGATGTGGCTGGACGGTGTCGCCCACCGCAAGAAGGCTCGTCGGTTCCTGGCCGCATGTCTGGGGAAACCAGAAGGCACCGATACCGCGACTCCCCAGACCTCTCCCGGGGTGCTTTCTGACCAGAATTTCGAGGCGAATCCAACGGTGGCGATGAGAGCCTCCCAGGAGGCCCAAAAAGGGGAGAACGAGGGAAGGGTAGCGGTATGGGTACCTTTCCCTCCTCTGAATGTCGGTTGTGCTTCGCATCTCCTCCGAATTGCGTCGCGTCCAGCTCTCATGATGCGGACTTCCGACTCCCCAGACGGTCTGGGTGGGGACGTCTGGCGACCTCCGGCGGCCTCTGACGATCTCCCCCTCATCCTCCTCCTCCTCCTCCTCCTCCTCCTCCTCCTCCTCCTCCTCCTCCTCCTCCTCCACTTCCTCCTCCTCCGCCTCGTCCTGCTCCTCCTTCCTCCTCGTCCTCCTTCTCTTTCGTCCTCCCCCTGCTCCTCCTCCTCCCACCTCACGCGTCCGTCCTGCTCCCATCCTCCTTCCTCCTCGATCCTCACTCTCCCTCCTTGATATTCCTCCTCCTCCTCCTCCTCCTCCTTCCTCCTCCTCCTCGCTCCTCCTTCCTCCTCCTCCCCTCCTCCTCCTCCCCCCCTCCACAAAAAGAGCAGGACGAGGAACAGTCTCCCTCATCCTCAGATCATGACCATCGCCACCATCACCGCCACCACCATCACCACCACCATCCTCCTTATCATCCTCCTCGTCGTCGTCGTTGCCATTCGTATAATAATCATCATCATCATCATCATCATCATCATCATCATCATCATCATCATCATCATCATCATCATCATCGTCATCATCATCAGCATCATCAGCATCATCATCATCATCGTCATCATCATCAGCATCATCATCATCAGCATCATCATCATCATCAGCAGCAGCATCATAATCATCATCATCATCATCATCATCATCATCATCATCAGCAGCATCATCCTCATCATCAGCATCAGCATTATCATCATCAGCATCATCAGCATCAGCAGCAGCATCAGCAGCAGCATCATCATCAGCATCATCAGCAGCATCATGAGCATCAGCATCAGCATCACCATCACAATCACCATTACCATCATCATCATCATCATCAGCATCATCATCATCATCATCATCATCATCATCCTCATCCTCATCCTCATCCTCATCCTCATCATCATCAGCAGCATCAGCATCATCAGCATCATCATCATCAGCATCATCAGCATCAACACCATCATCAACATCAGTATAGTCATCAGCCTCATCACCATCCTAATCATCATCATCAGCAGCATGATCACCATCATCATCATCATGGTGTCCAGCATAATCTACATCAGCATCGTCATCATCATCATCATCATCATCATCATCATCATCATCATCATCATCATCATCATCAATGTCATCATCAGCAGCAGCATCAGCATCAGCATCATCATCATCACCATAATCATCAGCAGCATCAGCATCATCATCCTCATCATCCTCATCATCCTCATCATCCTCATCAGCAGCAGCATCATCAGCATCATCATCAGCACCATCACGTTCAACATCATCAGCAGCAGCATCAGCATCACCAGCATCAGCATCATCGTAATCATCGTTATCATCATCAGCGACAACATCATCATCATCATCATAATCATCATCATCATCATCATCATCATCATCATCATCATCATCATCATCATCATCATCATCATCCTGTCCCTCCAACACATCCCTCCTTCCTCCACGTCCTCCCGATCCACGTCCGCGCAGACTTCCCCGTGAAGGTGTTCCCTTCAGACTTAAGGAGTGTCATGTCTGCTACTATCCCGACATGCTCCCTGGCCCCGTCGCGAGGTAATGGCCAGGACAGGAGGGCGAAGAAAATGTGTGGATACTCGAGGGGTGCCAGAGACATTCCTGCCCCTCATGGTCCTCCTCTTCCTCCAGTTTCTCCACCTTCTCATCCTTCCTCCGCCTCCCTCCTCCTCTTCCTCTTCCTCCTCCTCCTCCTTCTTCTTCTCATCCTCCTCATCCTTCCACCACTCCCCCTCCTCCCTCCACCATCTTCCCTCCTTCCCCTCTCCCTCCCTCCTTTCTCCCCCATCCTCATCCATTATTCCTTTTCCTCCTCCTCCCGCTTCGTTCTCCTCCTCCTCCTCCTCGCGTCCTCGTCCTCATCTTTGTCCTCCTCCCCCA